ACTCCACCACGGACGATATTGAAATTCTGTATTCCTCTGACATTCCTGTCCAAATGAACAGGCAGGACAACTCGTCTGTCGGGCACGGCGTCGCTCGCCACTCCCACCAGCGCGGCATATTACGATCTTGTAACATACTCGCAGTTGTTACCACTCAGCAACTGGTAAAAGATATTTGATAAAAGATAAATGTTCATAATGGTAAAGGATAGATGTTCATATGGAAGAGGGTGCATTCCTCCATCTATCGTCCACGCGACAAAGTGTGCAATATTGGGCGCTGGTAACCTTAGGAAGGGGCCACTTGAAGGTGCTTCATTAGGATGAAGATGAGGAATCCTGCCTAAAACTCAAGGGAAAAGTGCTCCGGGTGGGTGAACCGATTCTAATCGCAGTAGTCGTGTTCCTATGACGTTAATTCAATTTTTATAAAAAGAGCCTTCCGTGTGCCTTCAGCCAAGGTTTTTAATGCCCAATTTTGTTATTCCTTCTATGGAAACTATTCTGTTTCAGACAAGGGCTGAACGATGGATTCATGACTTGGCGCTGAGGAATACGATGCTCAGAGCACATCGTCAAGCGTGGGCATGGCAGGACGAATGGGTTGGGTTAACTATGGCCGACATCAGACGACTAGAAGCCGAAGCAGCTGAACATCTCTCAGCAGTCATGGCTAAGGAGTAAGTTGGAGCCTGGATTTAATGAATTCGCGACAGACTAGTTCGATTTGAGGGGATGGTTACGTTCTTTATTTGAACGTGGTGGTGGCTGCGGTTTTGGTGGGGTTTTGCCATTCAAGGACAATTGTGATCATGTCCTTATCCAGCACAAGACAGTATGCAGTCCTCTAAAGGGAGTTCCACGACAAACGCCTCCTACGTATATTCGAGTGAAGTGCGCAACCACGCCCTCTCTATATGCGTGATACAGTGCAGTATAGCAAAGAGGCTGCACCATACAGTATTGTCTAGCCGTGTTCAGGAATGATGAAGCTGTCGACGATTCTGATGCGTCGTCTGATGAACCTCTATTTCGACTGCAGCGATGGTTCATCACAAAATCACAAACCATCAATTATTCGATGGAGCTCGGAACTCGAGTTGGAGATCGTTGACGAACGTGAGAGGAACTACCGTAATACTAATTTTTTTCCCAAATCGGAACTCCTGCTCTCAAAATGAAAATTCATAAGCGCTTCCTACGAGACAGTTATTGATGGAAAGCAAAAAATAGTCTTTGAATTGATTTTTTCTGTGAATAGTATCCCAGTGGACCAATCCTTCCGCAGTTTGGCAAAATTACAACATTTGTCATTCACTGCGAAATCCGCAGGGTTCATGCTATCC